ATTTGCTGACAATAACATGTTTGTTGATGTGCTTGATTGAGACAATATACAGTGTACTCTGGATGGAAAATCTCATTTTGTATGCTGTAATGATGTACAGTGAATGAATGCAAACAAATAAATTGGAAAAAAAAGAATTTTTGTATTTGTATTCATCAGAAATGTTGGTCTGTAGTTTTGTTTTTGTTATTTCCTTGTCTGTTTTGGGGATCAGGGTGATGGGAGGAATCATAGAATAAATTTGGGAGGGTCTTCCTTCCTTTTGGATCATTAGAAATAGTTTGAGTAGTATTAAGGTTAGCTCTTCTTTAAAAGTTTTGTAGACTTCAGAAGTGAAGCCATTAGTACCTAGGCTTTTCTTTGTTGGGAGGCTATTTGTTACTGATTCCATCTGACTGCTTGTAATTGGCCTATTCAGGCTGTCTATGTCTTCCTGGTTCAATCATGGTAGATTATATGTATTCAGAAATTTGTCCATTTCATCTAGGTTTTCTAGTTTGTAGAGCCTGTATTGTAACATATTTTGTTGCTGTTGTGGTTGCTGCTCTGTTTGGTTTCATATGCCTGTCTATCCTAGAAACTGTGAGTTTCTCAGAGACAAGTATTGTCATCTTACTCTGTGTCCTAAGTACCTAGTACAATGCTGATCTCACAGAGGGGCTTTAAATGACAGAGTGAATGAATACTAGAAAGGAGTGAAAGACATCTTTGGTGAATGTCAAACTATCCAAGAAACAACAGGGTTGGTATTTTTGTTTGTTTTTATTTTTAAGTTTCTTTCTTCTTTGAGTAAGAGAGACAGACAGATTGGCACCTTCAACAATGTCTTGACTCCACAATCCACTCCCAACTTCAGTCAGTACCACAGAGTTGGGTATTTTAGCAAAATGTTTTCAAGTCTATTCATCATAATATGTCTGTCTCACATATTACAGATATTTTTCAAATAATTGTGTTTTCAGTACCAAACATCATGAGCAGGATGAAAGGCTGAGTGTCCTCCTGTGATGTAGTAAGCAGACCAACCCTTCTACAATACAACCACTTGCTCAGCCACCAACACAGTCTAACATGACTTGATTAAGAAAAAAAAAAATGTATCTGATTGAGGATGACTTGGGCTTATTTTTGCTGTCCCATCCCCACAAGAGTCTTAACTGTTGAAACTGCTCAACACAATACTTCACACCATCTAGGGATTATGATTTATGTCAAATGCCATATATGTCTGCTGTCATGCATTTATTGTGGAAGGTGAGGGGAACAGGTGTTTTATAAATTAAGAAAAGTAATAAATCTACTCTCAGTATATATTGCATTTACAAAGACAGCTTTCAGATACCTTCTACGAATGTTTGTTCTGTCTTAAGTCTTTGATGTAAGTGGAGAATATTATCACATGACACAGAATAGGTCATTATGTTTGAATTCCCTGGTTTGGGGAGAAGGATGATAGAGTCTTTCTCTTTAGCAGAAATCAAAAGAAAGTGCAGTACCTGCTGGGTACATATTCCCTAAAAGTTGCCAGCACTATTTGCCAGACAGCTCCCAGATAAGCAGATGGCTCCTTTAATGATGAAACCCAATTTTTCTAAAATGCTAATTAGTTAGAGAAAGCTCATTTGAAAGTCTGCCGTACATCGCAGGAAATGTCTTTTGTGTCTGTGTCATTTGCTTCTAGGAATCATACAGCTATCACCTGAGTAAGTCAGTTTCTCTCTTTTTATTTAAATCATGTGACCCTTCAGACACAAGAAAAGGGAAAATACAGTCAATGAGGAAAAGGAGAACTCTCTATCAAGATGGAACATACAAAAGTAAAGCTATTTTTTTCTTTTAAAAAATCAGGTTTATTGTATTTTTCAAACCATGTGTTTGGAACAGTCTCCTCAGTTGGTTTCATATGACATATGCATCTCAATTCATTTCTGTATAAATTTCCATTACAACTTGTAAAAACCAGATTGCCCATCTGAAAGTTGGTTCTGACTCTGAGCTGGTCATTATATAGTGGGAAATATGAAAGTAAGTGACAGAGATCTTGACTTTTTATTCTGATCTCTCTCGTGATTTATTTGAAACCCAGAGCAAACCACCTAACCTTTCCTATATAACTCACTATATTTAATATGAAATGATATGGTCCATTTTCTTGTTGGATAAACCACCCCTTTTATAGAATTCCTCATGCTCTGAAGTTGGCCGATGTATTCCTGTAGTGTCATTTAATGTGTCCCTTTGTTGTCTGTATTTCCTGTGAACTGAGACTCTAACTAGAGGCTTGATCAGATTCAGGCTGTTTATTGGTAAGATCCTCATAGGTGGTATTTTACGCTTCCTATTCCATTACATCAGGGAGCACAGAATGCAGAGATTGATTAGTGGGTTGTGGTTTTGCCAACTTCATCCATCCATTATAAAGTTCTACATCAGCCTTTCACTTAATGTTTTTTTAAGTAACTGATGATGATTGCCTAGATTCACTATTTTATTGAGGGTTTCAAAATGGTGACATCTTAATTCTATTATACTTCCTATATTTATTAAGTGAAAATTTGTACTCAACTGTTTGCTTACTGTGAGATGCAGTTCATGTAGGAAATGCAAAACAAACATTTCAAATCCATTCCCCCTTTTTACCAGCTTCAGAATGAATTGGTGCTGTAGGACTTTATAAGATGATTAGTGCTGTCACTATGAACTCAAAGATTTTAATGCATGTGATACGTTTGACTGATTTACAGTAATTTGTGTTTCGATGTTCAGAATATCTTATCTTTGGCAAATAAGAGCCCCTTGAAGTTGTCATTTCTGTTCTTTTCACACAACTCCAGAACTTTTGAGAGCTTCTGGTCCACTAGGATGTTTTCAAATCATCCTGTACATTTTCTTCCCCATGACTGAAATCAGTCATTTTCCCAACCAACCCTGGTTTCTTTTGGTAAAATGGCATTTAGAGATCATAACCTAGCTTTAGGGAGTTGTTACCAAACCAAATTATTTGGGACAGGGCTAGTCACCCATCGCACAAAAAAGTTAATCTCTAGGGGGAAAAAAAAAGTTGAGTGTTTCCCAAAAGTAAAGCTTTATTCAGTTGACGTGAGCTGAAAGACAAATATCAAATCTGCCTCCCTGGTTGAATAAGATCTGGAGATTTTTAAGGAGGAAAAACAATGTGGCTATGTGAGGTAGGCTAAGTAAAAGGCCAGGGGCCCGCAGGTGGCTTCTATTAAGACCTCACATCTTAATCTTGTTGAAGTGTCAGAGCATGTTCCTGTTGACATCAAGGAGTCTGTTCTCATCTGTTCCTTATTTGTTCCTGTTCTTTGAAGTTGTCTTTGAAGGTGAATCATTTTGTTCTGAGAACAAGACTCAAAATTTATTAGATTGTTGAGAAAGTCATGACCTATTTTTCTGTTTTTCTATGCAAAAACGTGTCTTGACTTTCCTGACAACCTGATACATTCTTACATTTTATCAATTTATTAGGACATCTGGTCTACACCAGGTAAGGAAAGCATTTAATCATTGTGCTCAGTGTGTTTCTGTATTTATGATTCAAAGGTCAAAACTAGATCTTACTTATAAGTTGTTAAGATTTTAAAAATTCTAATAAAGAGTTAAGGACAAGAACGTAGTATCAGTCATTGCTTCTAGACATGTGTCATCCACTTTCATCATCATTAATCCTCCTGTTTGCTTATCCTGCTGCTGTGTCTGACATGCCAGTATCTAGCTTACCTGCTTTTTCTTGATTCACTTAGGAACAGAAAAGCCATTGTTGTGTAGTAAATATAAGATAATAAATATTTATGACTTCAAGGGAGCGAAAGCCCTAAAATCAGACATAATTGATCATTTTGAGTACATCAAAATTATAAACTTCTGCATACCAAAACACACCGAAAGCAAACTATAAACAAGCTATAGATTAGGACAAAATATTTCTAATACATTATGGCCTAAATATGAAGACTATATAGACATCAATAAGAAAAACCAAACTACTCAGTAGAAGAATTGATATAATATGTAAGTAGGTAGCTATGGAATAGCAAAATACAGGTAGGTAATATTTGAAAATAGGTTCAACTTCACATATAATTAGTTATATGTAAATCAACAAAAGGTAAGATGCCATTGTAGATGTATCAACTTGGCAAAAAAATTTTAAAGAATGATTTACTTATTTATTTTTATTTGTTATTATTATTTTAATTTGACCAGAGAGAGAAAGGGAAAGTGAGAAAGCAAGCCACTAGGTTCAGAACTTGAACAGTGGTTGGTCATGTAGGAAGTTTAGCCGTTTAACCACCACACCACCTGCCGGCCCCTTGGCAAACATTTGATAGCAAGTTTTGGTGAATATGTGAGAAAACACAAGCTCTGCTTGGTAAACTATGGTGATACTTTTCAGACTTTATTTTACCTTTGAAAATTAAAATTTCTTCTGTTCCTCACCCTTCCCATCCTACCCCATCC